TAGGCTTTTGCTGGTTAAGGGTCCACTTCTCCTCAAGCTTCTTAATCGACTCCATATAATCCATCTGGCATTTCGTTTTCTCCTCCTAATTTAAAAGGCAGACAAAGGCAATTTTAGCGTTCAAGTAAAATGCTGCATAGATCAAGTATTTCTCCACAAGCATGAAGGTACACCCAGATTCAGTGGCACCTTCATGTAGTAGATATACCTCCAAGACTTCTACATAAGTTCTTTCAGCCTCAGCAATGCGCTTTTGTGCTTCTAATCTTATTCTCTCAATCTCATTTTCATAAACTTTCTGCTGTCTTTCATTATCAGCAATTAGTTTGTCAATTTCTATCTCAAGCCTTTTGGACAAACTCTTGTAATCATATTCTTCCTTAATCTTCAGCATGTTCTCCACCTTCATAGCCTATGGAGAAATCAGACGCATTTAGGAACATGAAAAGTTATTTTGTCCAGTAAGGAAAACCTGTTCCCACAAATAAAATTGCTCATTACTCCGTCCCACAAATATAACTTCTCACTCTAACTCACCCTTTGACCAAACAATATCGTGCTTGCTGTTTCTGCTCGATGGCGTGGAGATGGACCTATTGTGACAACTAATGAAGTTCTGGATGTTCCTGCAGCATTAAGAGGTAAACAAGTTAAAACAAAATCAAGTTCGGAACAATCTACTTTTCGTTACTGCATTAAGTTCTAATAACAACCCATGAGTTCACTTGATGTACAATGATTTATACTTAAAAAACAAACACAAAATCTCACCTCCAAATGAATCTTTAAGCAACCTCGTGAGCTTTGAATCTCGAACAGGGATATGAGAACTATTTTCTGCCAAGGCATTTATACACTTTCCTAAAGCACTAAGAGAAAGGTTTATGGACTTGGCTTCTTCTAGCATGTGTCCCTCGCATCCTTCAAGCAACAATTAGCAGAAACTCATATTACTATTGTTAACTGTAAAGGAGTTGAGAAATGTCAATCATAAATATTGATCTGTTTAACATCAAAACAAAAAACAGCATACACAACAGATGCAAATACAGTCTCCCCCAAACTCTTTTTCCAGATTCGGAATAAATGTTTCCATGGCAAATCTGAGAAGTCCAGCGTTAGTTAGCTACACTAACGGACATAATCTATGTACTCAGACATACTAGGAGTTACAGGTCGATGTTGAACCTTCATAGTTTCTTTTACATAGTTGAACTGGAACAAAATCCAAATCAAAATAAATGTGCCAGCCAGGTCTGTCTGGAATGAAGACCCTACAGTACTATTCAGTTAACAAATTAGGCATGGAGCATCAAGATTTAACAACATCGACTAGCTCATCTGAAAAGTCGTGTTACGGGATAGCATTAGCAATTATTGATTTTGTTGCATATCCGGCTCATTGCTTCTTAGAGAAAAAAATAAATATATAAATGAAGTGAAAAAATTTCATCAGTTTCTATGAAAAACACAAGTAGAGGCAGACTATCTACTTGCAAGTACCTGATTTGTGTATACGCTCAGAACCAGCAAGATCTACGACGATTAATTTGCCTTTTCGAAGCATAGGCGGCCTAATTTTACCAACCATATTAGACCGATCTTGAGTTTCAACAGAAAAGTCATCCCTGTCCAATACGGACTTCTTCACTTGTACCTATACTATGCCACATAAGTTTTACACCGGTAAAAGCCAGAAAGGAAAAATGGAAAACAAACGTGAAAATATTACTGTCTTACCATGAGAAGGGCATGACTTCGGGAAGACTCCGTGTTCAGTTTAGTGTTAGCAGCAATCCTATGCGCTTCCCCCACACGCAGAAGGTCAACAAAACTTTGTTGGTCTCTAATCTCCAAAACCGTCGCTCCCGGCAAAGAAACATCACCGGTTTTTTGGTCCTCCACTATTGAAATATTATCATTCGCTGTATTTAGCAGATCCTGGATCGTTTCCATGTAAAGCTACAGAAATCAACAGTTTGAAATTAGAACAGCATTTAAATTTGAAGAATTCCTCAACTATATAATCAGATAGTCAAAAGAAAAATCAGCATGAGATAATTATATCAGGTGGGTTTTATATGTCACCTGCAAATATGAAACTAAGATAGAATCAGTGTCTGGAGAGATATTCGCAAGTATATCCTCCATTGAACGAACCATAATACCACGAGCAGAGGTGTCTTCATCACCGAGTCTTCCTAGAGTATAAGTCTTTCCAGTACCAGTTTGACCATAGGCCATCACTGTCCCGTTGTAACCATCTAGAACACTCTGGGGAAGTTGAGGTAATCAAAATCAAAACTGCTGATGATACTACTAAAAGAATTAAAGAACATTATAGAATAAACACAAATGATCCCATGCTGAGGATAAAATTAAATGAAATTAGAACTGCTGAAAATCAAGGCACATGACATCATAACACTAGGCAGAACATTTATAATGGTCGTTGGCACATAATAACCACTTAATTTGTCACTTGTCAGAATCTCATAATCTTTTAAATCTAATAAACCAATCATATCAGTAACTACTATATATAAGAAATACAACACAGTAAAAAAAATCTACTCCTAATTAACCTTTAACTCCATATTGCCAAATGTCAAGAGTTGAAAAAGAAAATCCTTGCTAGTAACTATTGAAACAGTCAATCTTAAACGATATGAATCACATTTGTTCAAGATACGTAAAAAAATACCAACTATGCATGACCAAAATAGAATTTAGCTATCAGCTACAATAATAGTTCAAATTGAACATAGTCAGGTGCCCAGCAGCTAGCTTTGAATCTGCTGGAATCCACATTTTAGGATTAAGAACCCTGAGCCATTTCCCATGGAAAACTAACGCTGTGTCATAACTCATAACTCTTACAAACATGGTAAAGAATAACACAGCTTTCAGAAACTTACCTCAACAACAGGTTTGGCTACAACTTCATATACACGCTTTTGTGATGCAAATTCAGTTAGAACCTCATCGAACTCATAAGTATCTGAATCCCAATTGTTTTTTCGAAGTTTCAACCTTTTCAGCTAGAGCAAAAAATGTATTATATCAGCTGGGTGAAAAATGAAGTAGAATATATACAATGAGAGTAAGATTAGAAATATTCTAGAACCTCTGGCTGTAACTCCACGCAATCAGCAAAATCTGCATCAGCCACCATCTCCTCAGAATTCCGAGGCCGCAATCTTACAGCAACTCGGACTCTTCCCGAAACTACCACAAAGGATGATAAATGAATCCGATAAACAGCCTGATGTGCTTCACAGACATTTCTTAGTAATACTAACTATTCATAACCAATATTCATACCATTCATCAGATGATTTACCAACTGAGTTTAAGCTCTACTCAGAATGCCCTATGAAAGAATGTCACCGAAAACGGAACTAAAACAGGTACAGATCAATTGTCCAAGCTCCATAGCAAACTCATTTACTCATTTCCACAATTTAACTCAACAATGGCACATCAGATTATGATACCAATTGCTCCAGTAATGTACAATCATAAGCAGAATTCCGGAATACACAAAACCACACACACACACACACACACAGGGGATAAGTACGAGCGCTACACAACAATTCAAAAAGAAAAAAACAGTTAATTCAGCTAAGCATAATTATAAGAACGAAAACTACTAATCCACTGTGAACTAACAGATTCACTTAGCAAAATTTAGATGCTAACACAAGCTCAATCTCAAAAGCATCCTACAATGCATCTAACCAACCAGATCGGATTGGATAAGAAAAGCTCATAAAAAGTCCTCGCAAGTCACTCACTCACCGGAATCGGCGCCAGAGCCGAGCGAGGCGGGGCTGCTGCGGCGAACGGGCGGCGGATTCTTCGTTTTGAAGGAGGACGAAGGGCGGAGGCTCGGAGCCTTGTGCACGCCATTTCTATAACTGCCGCCGCCAGAGGCCATTGCCTTCGTCTCTGTTTTTCCCTTCGGAATTGTGTGAAAGGAAAATGTTTTGTAAAAGATTTTAAAACGACAGAGAGAAAATTACGAAGTTGATGGGATTGGGGGAGAATTAAATGAAAGGAGAAGGGTATTTAGGTCTTTTGAGGCAGCGTGCTTTAAGTTGAACTTGAAGACCAAGGACAAAGTGGTGAGGGACGTGGGTCCATGCGGTTTTTCGGTGCTTTTTTAGTTTTTAAGCGACGAAAATTAAAAACCATCTTTTTACAAATTACAATAATAATAATAATAATAATAATAATAATAATAATAATAATAATAATATAGTACACTCAATATTTGTTTTAAAAATCATCTTAATATTTGTTTTAAAAATCATTTCAACAACGATCACAACTAAACTATCAGTCGATTCTCAAATAAAATGAAAATATAAGAAAATAATAAAAAATGGAATATTTAGTTTTATTTAGTTTTATTTATTTATTTATTTTTGGTGCAGTATATTTTGTTTTCATTTATTCCAACTAATCAAATAAATGGTCCCAGAGGGAAGGACGAAAATACCACCGACAAAAAGCGTCAAGGTGATTTTTGACTTTTATGGGGGACCGCCCTCGTGAGCAAGTGAATTGACGAAAATGGACCTCCATTACCTGCACGACATTGAAAAATGCAGGTGGAGTACTTTCAAAACTGCCTAAGAAGTAGAGCGAGAATCTAGGCATTACCCTGAGAAAGTCCAGCAGTCAGCAACAAGGAAAGTGGGCCGCTCGAGTCTTCAATTATCTAAAGGCCCAAAACTTTTTAGATGCTTCATGTTAGATTACAAATTTTCAATACTAACTAAAAAAAAAAATTGAAGCTTTTTAATCAAGATCAATACGTTTACATATTTTATTAGAATTATATCATCATTCAGACATTATTAGATTTGCTGTCCCTACAAAAGAATATACACATTACTTATACAGGCAAAAAATGGAAACATAAAAATTAAAAAATAAAATACAAAAAAAATAACTAAAACAACACTCAGGTTTCAAAATTTCCACTTTTTCTACCCCATCGAATCTTCTTGAGTATCATCTTCATATTCCTCTTTTTCTTCTTCTTCCTCCATTCTATCTTCAGACATCACCTTCTCACTACCACCCGCCACGTCATCCAAACCTACTTCCCAACCCCACTTGTCCACATCATCATCATCGTCACCGCACCCCTCCGTACCCGAATCAGACGCCACATCATCGCCAGGCCCCGCCGCCCGATCCTCACTCCCCACGGCACGACTGAAGTGCTCCTTCAAATCGGGCGCAACAATGCCAATCATCTCGCTCAACGCCCGGCGCTCGTGGCTCCTCCTCTCGGCATCAGCACACAGCAGCTCGATTGATGCCATGTGTCGACTCTCGGCCACCAAGCTAATCGAGTCGTGGCCGGGCCCACCACCAACACCATTTTTACTCTCCGACGAATGAGAAACTTCGTTTTCTCCATGAAGGTCCGATGTTTCAATAGTTTCCTCTACGTGCATTGTACTATCAAAATTAATATTCCAGCTGGTGTGTTGACTCTCGGTCTCCAAAACTTTCTCTGTATCTACTGGGCACCCCTCGGGAATTTGCTCGGTCCCGATCGCATTCCAATGGGAGTTCTTAAATGGGCCCACGAACTCAACTTCCTGCGTGTTGGACCGGTTTTCGTCCTGGCTTCGAATGTTGCTGCATTCATGTTTTTCGGTCACGCTCGCCTCGTTGCTTGACAACTCAGCACGGTCATTGGCAGTGGCGTAGCTCTTGTAGGCCTCCTTGCCCCGTTTGCAAGCAGCTCGGGTGAGGTCAATATCGGTGGAAACTGTCTCGTAATTCTCCTCGTCCTCAAGTGTCCTCTGCATTGATTTGAGCTGCTCCTGCTGTTTTGCGAACAGGGAAGATATCTCCTCCGTGGTGGAGTATAAAGCCCGAAGCTGAGTTTCACTGCAGTAAGTATCGTTTTATATTAACTAGACGTGAACGAAATTTTTTATTTGCAATACAACATAGGAATACAATACAAATACATCCAATGTTATTCGTAGATCGTGAAGCCTTTTTTCTCAAAAATCAGTAAAAATAAAATGCATATTCTAACCGAAGCATAATTCTCTCACTGGCTGCTTTTACTCTGCGCCTTTCAAAATCGAGATCCTGCAGTGCAGCACTGATCTCGAGCTCAAGAGCAGACACCTTTGCCCATGCTTCTTCCCGGGCTGCCTGCTACAACAGCAAAAGAAACTCGGGTTAGACATGCAAAATGGAAGCATGAATATAGCTGAGTAATTGATGCGAATATAGGAAAATTCGTACTGCATATATTACCTTCTCATGCTCGAGTTCTTTCCTCAGTCTCTTTCTTTCATGCTCTAATTCTTCAACCCTCTAAAATAGTAAATTTATTAAAAAACGAAAATAAAAAATAGAAGAGTGAAAACCGGGGATAATAAAAATCATCAGCAGAACATGGATCGGATTGTAATTCTGTAACAATAATTAATAGCATATCTTGGTAGGGGTAACCACAGTACTTTTTGAGTAATAGCAAAAGTTTTCTGCTCCTCACGCATTTGACCTTCCAACTGACGCACTTTATTGTCAGAGTTGACTAAATTTTGTCTTGTATCTTTCTGAGCCATGGATCGGAAAGACATTTCAGTGTCAAGGCAAGATGACGATGTTTGGAAAATAAATGTTCCATACCAATTTGGATATCAAAGTTTCCACTAATGAACACCTTTCCTTGTCAGCCTCCTGTATAGTATAGTATAAACAGGTCAGATTTGAGCTACCTAAAATAATAGAAATAATCATAGAGAAAACCCATTATCTTTTCCAATTTTTTAACCTGGAGCTTATTTATCATTTCTTGTTGCTCCTTCTCTCGTCTCAAAGCACCATCCGAGACACGCTTTATTTCTTCTGCAGCCTCAGCTTGAACTTTCTGTATTGTCACTTTCATATGAAGAGAAGCTTTCTCTCTCTCTTCTCTCCTCTGACCACGCTCTTCATCTAATAGAGCTTTCAGTTTGGATATAGAAGCCTTCTGGCTGTAGCGTGCAAAATGTATTTACGTGAGGATAAAGATTAACCACCAGCATAACAAAGATCAGTGCATCTTATAATGTAATTCTATCCAGCATTACTATAATGTAATTCTCACCTATTAATTATTTCATTCGCTTCAAGACATGATTGCATAGATGCACCAAGACTTTCGTTAAGGTCTTCAATCCAATGTTTTTGCTCGGCTGATGTTTTATTTAGCTCTGTTAGTTCCTTGTCTTTAGCCTCCAAAGACTGGTTCCACTGACTGAGCTGACTTTGATAAGATTTTGCAAATGATTCTTTCAACTCCCTCAATTCCTGCACACGCAAGCATCATCTCTAATCGTTGGTGCTGACACCTCCATTAACAGTATATCCAAATCCAAAGAAGAGATTGTGGCCCATTGAAACAAAATGACGAAAAAAATTATGCATGGTACGAATTAATATTTGCTAAATTGTCAAAAAAGAGGACCTCACGAATGCTTAAGGAGCCGATAAATAAATTTCATTTAACTCGTCTTAAAAAAATTAGGTCAAAACCAAAAAATCTTCATAAATAAAATCAAGCGAACACGAATAGGACACCATAATAACCAAGAAAACAAGTGAATGCTTATAAATTTAATAGAGTAGAGCTCTACTTCAACTGTGGATGTTGTTTGGCAACATAACAGAAGTTATCTGCCAGCAGCAATGATGATACTGATAGAGAGCAGTTGAACCAAAGGATAAAATGATGAGAATATAATCAACTTGTTTTAATCTGAAGTTACTGTCAAACATCTAAGTTCTGCGAATAATAAGAATGATGCAGTTTAACATACAATTTCATGCTTCTCAATGGCTGCACGATTTACAGCACGCAAAGATTCAACTGTTACAACTTGATCTTCCAGATGTTTCCTGAGTTCCTACGTATAAAATCATTACTTCCTCAAAAACTTTGACAGAAATTAGAAAGAGTGGGAAAATAAAAACTGAAATAATACTACAGCCAGTGAAATGGCTTAAAAGACCATATAGATACCGTATTTGATCTTTGAAGACTCCGAAAATCATCAAGAGAGATTGGACCATCAGAAGCTCCTATACCAATTCCTTTCAATCTCTTGCTCTCATCACCGTATTCATCTGTACAAAAAAAAAAAAAAAAAAAAAAAAAAAA